GCAGCTAACTGTACATGAAACAGATGCAGCATAGCATATAAACTAGCTCATTCAATATTCAATCTTCACCTGTACTCAAGAAGGTCATCATCACAAGCTTTCACCAGGCAGTGCAGCATTAAGCAAATATGAACTGACCTTACAAGCATAGGCTGATAGATTAAAAGGCTTGTGATTAATACAATAGATGTTTACAGTCATAAACTATGTATCTTACATCTTTGTATGGCAAGATCATTCATGTCTAAATCAATATGCACTCACTGGCATTTAGTGGTGTTACTTCATTAAAGTTCAGTATGTTTCAGGTTCTACAAAAGTAAGTGCCTTTATTTGTACCTTTGAGTGTTTTCTGGTGAGGTTCAAGCTTAGCTTGAGATTCTGAACCAGGCTTTTAAGGCCTGTGAACTTTGAGCTCTGTTCTGCATATTATTATACTAAATATAAAGTTAGCTTTTGTTATTGTAACATATTACTATTATATAAACACTGCCATTGCTGTTATGAGCAAAGAATTCATACTAAAGCAGTGCAAATAATAGAAAAAAGTTTTGTAATATGGCAAAGAATGAAGAAATTGTGCCCACTGAGCATCTGCACTGCAGCCCACATCACTCTAGTAAAACATTCTAGTTCTAATGTTTACCCACACAACATAGCAAATTCAAAGGCAAGGAAAGAGTAACCTTCAGAAGACACTTTAGTCCAAAGTAGCTAAAGACACTGCAAGAAAGTCCTGAAGATAGGCAAGTGCCAAAATAAAATGACATATCTATACCATGACATTAATATCTGACTTCAGAAATGAAGGGGTTAACATTCCACCCAACCTGTCTCCAGTATAAGCTTTTTATACCTTTCATACTCTCTCTCTCTGCTAACTCTATGCATAGCAAAACTTCTTCAAAGAAAGAATAGGCTGTCTTAAATTTTTTGCCTATTACACTTATCATCTCTTCTTAGAGCCCTAGCTGCACTAGCTAGTCCATTGAATCTTGATCACTCTGGAGATGAGATTGATCCTTAAAGGTATGAACAATTAATTTTTTCAAGTGACTACCCCTCTGATCCACCACTTTCAGCTATTCTCCCACTAAGCGGCCACGTTGCATGCCTTCCTTCAGGCAGAATTCTAGCTCTAAAGCTAAAAGCACTGCTGATACCACCAAAGCCAGTCATAAAGCAGAGTATAATGACAGGAGAAGTGAGGACGACATGCAAAATGTTTTGTAGTAAGAAAAATGAATCAAAGTAAGCTCAGATATAATGCAACTGCAAAGGCAAACTAACACAGTTGTAGATTTGAAGATTTGAAGATGCCGAGTAAGAGTGTCCTTAATAGCTATCAAGAGGACATGATTGATGACACATTGAAGAAAAGCTACATATCTCATTCTAGCCTCAAGTGAGCCACATTTTATTACTATCAACTAGCTTGCCATTTGATAAGTTCAAAGCTGTCAAGATAGCAGATGATGACAGATGATGACAAAAAAGAGAGCCATCTGAAGAGTGCCACCCATGGTGACATGGCTGCAGGAATATGGCAGAATATCTCCTCAAAGTTTCTAAAGTGCATCAGATTAACATTGTTCTTGCCTATTAACTACCAATTTATATGCTTTTAGATATGCGCATAACATTATTTGCAGCTCTTACTTTGCTAGAGCTGTCAATGCTACTATGGT